ACTGGTTATAAATAGACCAGGAAGATTGAAACACCAATATGTAATCAAATGACAGCCATGTTGGATAAACTACCTGTTTAATTAGGTATGCATTGTAAAAAGTTTTATTTTATAAAAAGAACTCAATGTTAACAGTAATTTTAAAAGTTTATTATATACAAAAGACATATTGGATTATGGGGACTGACAACCGACTTACAATACGTTAATGAAACTGATTTATCTCCAGGACAATTGGAGATAGGCAAAGTATACATGGTAACACATAAGAAGCAAACAAATCATAAGAAATGCACGACTGTTATTATGTTCCTCAAACGAAGTTGGGGAACATATTGTTTTTACTCTGTTTCTTATTATTATTAAGGTCTTCCGTCTCCAACGGAAGACCTTATTGTTTTCGTTCGGTTTCTTTTTCCCTATTATTATTATTATTCTTTTTTTTTCTTACCGATTTTGTGCACGCAAGTTCTCGGAAACGGCTTGGTCGATTTTCACGAAACTTTCAGATCTGATAGATATTGGTCTGAACCTTATTGGAAATTTTTTATATGTACGTCGTCACTTCCGGTCGTGAGATATGGACGATTCACTGATTTTCAGAGGGTCAGCTTGTCCTGGCAATCACTAAAAAACAAATGAAGATATTGACTTGAGATTTTCAGTGAAGGTACAGGAAGGATATCTGTATTGCTTTTTTGAGTCTATATTTTTCCAGCGCAAAAGGCGTTGAAGCTCTCTTGAGCTCATTATAATTATTGTTTTTCTGACCATCTAATTTTGTGCACGCGATTTCTCGAAGACAGCTGGTTGGATTTTCATGAAATTTGCAGGAACAATGTGTTGCTATCTGCAGTTATTATATCCTGGAGATTTTTAGGAAATTCCTTTCTGGTGTCAAGTTACGGACAATCTCCTGATTTTCAATTGACATTTTGCTCGCGGATAATCTAAAGAACGGTAAAAGATATCACTGTGAAACTTTCAGGGATTATAGATCGTGATAAGTACTATCCAAGATGCGATCTTTTGTACGTCGTCTCTACTTCCTGTCGTAACGGCATGCAAAGAAAAAAAAGTCGAATTTTTCAACTTTTTTGTTTTTCAATATTTTCAAACTATTTTAGTATGGCTGATAGAAACATATCTCATTAGGCTGAATATATAATTTGTTTGTAAATTGATAAATTCAAACTCGAGATATTAACATTCAAAAATATGAAGCGGGATCTTAATGGCGGCGGTCTTTGTCAATTCCGATATTTCGCAATAGGGGTTTACAGAGGCAGCGGAGCGTTTGCTTGAACGAAAGTAACATAAGGAACAATGAAATGTGTAAGGATACTTGGATTGTCACGTCGTGGGTTCTTTGCAATTCTGCGTCAAACTTCATTTATAATCCAAGGTCTCCTTACAAGTTTTCTTTAATTGGTTTTGGTTGGCTCTCAAAGTAGAAATAGAAAAGAATTAATGTGCAAATTGAGTACAATATCTACTATCTTTTGTTTTGCATCACGGAAACACATAACTTAAATCATAGTTATAATTAATAGTTTTTCAAGAAATAATATATATAGTAAGTACGAAACGTGACCACTGGTTTCCCATGCACACTTGTGTCATATTAAACTAACAGACAGGACAACTGTTAAAAACAGAAAACATTTTTTAAAAAGATAACTATTTTTCAAAGACCATATAATTAACCTATATAAACATTTTTTTTTTTCTCAATGCAAGTTATTGAACATAATGAAATCTTATTCCTTGAGCCACGTAGGACGATCGAGGAATTTTTTTGGTGAAATATACCACCTTTTTATGGAAGTGTAGGTAATCGCAATGGTCCACTTTCGTGATTAAGAAGAATTCTTGTGCCTTTTGACATTTTTATCCTATTAATGGAATTATCCCAACACAGGTCGTATTCAACGAGATATCGGACGGAAGACCTACTCGTTGCTCGCAACGAGATCGCATCTAGTTAAGGTCTTCCGACTTCCTTCGGAAGACCTTATTGTTTTCCTTCTGTTTTCTATTATTATTATTATTATTATTATTATTCCACTTTTCATAGTACAGGTTATATCTCAGCTGTGCGTGGTTCAGTTTGAACGATTTTTTCAGGGATGGTGCATCATGTTTATATCTCCAGGGGTGTCCCTCACTTTTTCGAAATTTACTTCCGTTCGCGTTTTTTGGGGAAATTTGTATTTTTTAAATGGAATTTTGTCGCAAAAAATTCTCGAGAACAGTAACAGATATAAAACTGAAACTTACGGACGTGATAGAACATCGAATGTAGATGTGTTGATCGACCTTCATTTTTCGTCGTTCTGACTTCCGGTCGCAAACGGAAGTGAAATCTAAAAGTCTAATTTTTCAACTTTTTTGTTTTTCAATATTTTTCTTTGGAATTCACATGGTTGATAAAGTATCTTTTAAGAACTTTAAATATGTTTTCATTATTTTCATGCGTGCATTTGTTGCAAAGATATGACAGATCCAAACTTTGTCTCACTGTCGGGGGTTCGAATCCCGCTGGGGGCGTTGCAAAAATTTTTTCTTTGTTTTTGTCCTTTTTCAGTTGCATATGACTTTTCTTTCTTTTTTATCATGTATGGAAGATTTTGTCGATTTTTCAAGGCTATATTTTGAGATATTTTTTGGAATAACTGTAATAATCACGATCTATGTTGACTGCTGTCAGTGAAAGTAAACGATAGAAATACAATCTGAAATCTATTCATGGCCTGACGGAGCAGAGATTTCTAACAAAGAGTCGGGCGGAAGACCTGCTTGTTGCCCTAGCAACAAGAACGCATCTAGTTATTATTATTTTTCTTCTTCCTGGGAAAATCTTTTCCGCGAATGATCTTGTAAACTACACATCCGACTAAGGTGAAACCTTTTTAGGGTCAGTAGGCATGTTATGTAGATTTGCGGAACAAAGGTCATTTTGCGCGCACGTGCTTGCAAGAGCGTGCACGTGCAACACGTGAAATGACCAATATAATAAATATTGCCGTAATTTTTTTAATTTTAGATGAAATGTTTTAAAACTCACAATATAAGGATATATTAGTAGCATAGACAAGATGACGTGGTCAAAATAGCAAGATCTCACGCGCATGCACGTGCGCTTCGCTATGATTGGCTGAAACTAAAGTCTCAATATCTTTCTTGTTTTTTGATAAAATCCTTTGAAATTTTGAATATAGTCATACATTAGAGAGATCTACAGCCTGATATAAAAGAATTATCATGAAAGAATGTGCATGCACGTGTGCTTGCAAGAGCGCACACGTGCAACACCAGAAATGTCCAATATAATTGATATAGATGTAACTATTTAATTTTTTAATGAAATGTTTTGAAACTTATAATATAAGGATATATTAGAAGCATAGACTAGATGACTTGGTCAAAATAGCAAGATCTCACACGCATGCACTTGCGCTTTGCTCTGATTGGCTGAAACTAAAGTCTCAATATCTTTCTTGTTTTTCGACAAAATTCTTTGAAATTTTTAACATGGTTATACATTATAAAGATCTACAGCATGGTATATAAGAATCGTCATGAAAAGCATGCGCATGAACTTGTGCTGTAATCTGATTGGCTGAAAATTTAGATGCCTATAACTTTCTTAGTTTTCAACCAAACCGGATAAAATTTAGAATATAAATAGGTATAATGGATTCCTACATAATGGTACTATCAAACTTGAATGCACGAACATTCATTCATGCACCTGCACGCGTGAAATACGCAAAATGGCCAATATTTTAAAAAAAAAATTGTAAAGAATTTTTTTTTATTTATTCTCACGATATATAGATATGTTAATTGTTTAGACAACATGCTATGATCATCTTGCATGTACATGCCCATGCGTGCCCGTACAATGCGTTAAATGACATATAGTTGATATCATTGTACCTTTTATAATTCTTTGATGAAATCCTTCGATACTGATAATATTTTTTAAAATGTCTTACAGGAATTAGGCACAAAAAGGGAATTGGGGAGCGTTTGGGGAACATCTGTAACGGTCCCCGTTACAATTAGCACTAGTTTTATACATTTTCTCTGAGATTCTATTTTCTTTGAGGTACAAATGATAACTATCTTTTCATGTTTGGGTTTTCTTTGTATATTATTTGTCTGTTTATTTTTTTAGGTCACCTGAGTAAACTCAGGTGACCTATTGCTATCCGTTTTCGTCCGTCGTCGTGCCTTGTGCGTCGTGCGTTAACATTTGAACATTTTCAGCTTCTTCTCTGCAACCACTGAACCAATTTCAACTAAATTTGGCACAAAGCATCTATGGGTGAAGGGGAACAAAAATTTTGAATTTCATGATCCCTGCGCCCCTGGGGCCTGAGGGGTGGGGCCAAAACCACTAAAATAAATGCAATCTTTAAAAATCTTCTTCTTTACTCCTGGACATCAAGCAGTCGAACTGTTTGCATGATTGTAATCAGCATTGAGTCCTCTACCAAAATTGTGAAATTCATGGCCCTGGGGTCAGGGGTTCTAGTGCTAGGGCGGGGCTAAATAAGTATAAAGTGAAAATGCATTATTTCTGTGAAAATCTTCTTCTCTGCTCCTGGGTTTTAAATGATCCAATAAAGTACATATTTATGATGAGCAAGAGTGCCTCTACCAAAATTGTGAATTTTATGGCCCCAGGGTCAGAGCTTCTGGTGTAAGGGCAGGGCTCTATTGATTATATAGTGAAAATACATGAATTCTTTGAAAATCTTCTTCTCTGCTCCTGGGTATTAAATAGATTAAGTAAGTGCAAAGTTATGATGAACAAGAGTGCCTCTACCAAAATTGTGAATTTTATGGCCCCAGGGTCAAGGGTTCTGGTGTTGGGGGGGGGGGCTCTATTGATTATATAGTGAAATACACGAAATCTTTGAAAATCTTTTTCTCTGCTCCTAGGTTTTAAATAAACTAACCAAGTGCAAAGATATGATGAGCATGAGTGCCTCTACCAAAATTGTGAATTTTAGGGCCCCAGGATCAGGGGTTCTGGTGTTGGAGGGGGGGGGGGCTCTATTGATTATAGAGTGAAAATACATGAATTATTTAAAAATTTTCTTCTCTGCTCCTGGGTATTAAATTAACTAAGTGCATAGTTATGATGAGCATGAGGGCCTCTACCAAAATTGTGAATTTTATGGCCCCAGGGTTAGGGTTTCTAGTGTTGGGGGGGGGGCTCTATTGATTATATAGTGAAAATACATGAAATCTTTGAAAATCTTCTTCTCTGCTCCTGGGTATTATATAACCTAACTAAGCACATAGTTATGATGAACAAGAGTGCTTCTACCAAAATTGTGAATTTTATGGCCCCAGGGTCAGGGGTTCTGGTGTTAGGGCGGGGCTCTATTGATTATATAGTGAAAATACATAAAATCTTTGAAAATTTTCTTCTCTGCTCATGGGTATTAAGCAGATGAACTACCTATATAGTTATGAACAAGGGCCCCAATCTTCCAGAATTGTGAATTTCAAGGCCCAGGGTCAGGGGTACAATATGGAGGGGGGCTATACTTATAGACTGAAAATGAGTGAATTGTTTGAAATCTGCTCCTTGGTATTCATCAAATATTTTTGAAAAGCAAGGATGCCTTTTCAAAAATTGTGCAATGTGTGTATCTAGGCCTAAGGGTCAGTAGTTCATGTTTTGTTGGGGCACTACTGATTATTGCTGAATATTACTGATTAGTTGAAATGCATTTGCGTTTTTTGTTCCTCTACCCTGCTTATGGGTATTAAGTAACCAAACTAAGCAACTGCTATATTTATAGTTATGATGATCAATGATGTTTCTTTCAAAATTGTGAATGCCATAGCATCTGGCTTAAAACATTAATCAAATTCAATCACTGGAAAGTTGTTGCTAATGCTCAGGTGACCTATAAGGCCCATGGGCCTCTTGTTTCCATGAACATGTTAAATTTAAAATACATGTTTAATCTACAATTAAGCATTTACGATAAAGTTATATAAACATTAAATAAGTTCCAAATAATGAACCTGTCTTTTCAAGTTCACACCTTCAAGTATTTTAAACTATACATCATTCTAAAAATATAGCACACTTATTACCTGCACACAGTTAGCAGCCATGAAGAAAACCAAATGACACAGACAAACTGACAGACATGCTGACAAATAAGGATCTACTCTAGTTTCACATTGTCTTGTCCTGTTCAATTTCAGTAGTAAGAATGACCAATGAAATTGATAATACTGGTACTCATACGTAATACATGTATATTATTTGAACAAGTAAACTGATCTTTTTTAGGTAGAGGGTTTCCATAGCTTCCACAATGGACCCGCGTCTCAGTGCCCAGGATGTCCTGCGCTGTGACCTGTGTGAGACTCCTGTTCCTCCAATGTACTGTGATTCATGTCATGTCAAACTCTGTAAGGCCTGTGTAGGGGAGCATCTCTCTGATTTATCCAAAGAACATAAAGTGGTGCCATACAAACAAAAGGGAACTACACCAAAATGTCCAACTCATGTTGGAAAACTCTGTGAATTTCACTGTAAGGAATGTGACCTTCCTGTTTGTTCACTCTGTCTGACATCCAATTTCCACAAAGGACATACTTTATTGAATTTACTGGAGATAATGAAAACCAAACAAAAGGCCATACAAAAAGATCTTGATGAACTGTCCAATTCAGTATGCCCTAAATATGAAGAAATTGCAGAAGAGATAGAGAGAGAAAAAACAAACCTAGAAAAGCAATACAAAAAACTGACAACAGCTGTCATCACACAAGGGGAAGACTGGCACAGAGAAATTAACATCATTGTCAACAAACAGAAATCTGAAATTGATGAGATGAAAACTAAGCACCTGGCTATTCTAAATAAACAGGAAAATGAAATCAAACAAATTATTTCTGAAGTAAAACAGTGCATAGTTGATCTGGAAAAAATACTGGACTCTAAAGATGTCTCCCTAACCTCTGCATACAATTCGAGGAATGCTAAATTCAGAAGTTTACCTCTTAAAGTCAACGTTTCTTTACCAAGATTCTCTCTTCAGAAGATCAGTGCAGATAATCTCAATCAAATATTTGGTTCTCTGTCAGCATTATCCATTACTACAGAAGAACATGGCTACACAATGGAGACACCAGAAGCTGTATCCTGTCCTCCAGTCAAACCACTGCTTGATGAACCAGAGCTCATCGCCACCATCAACACTGGGTTTAAAATATGCAGTGTAACCTGTCTCAGTGATGAAGAAATCTGGACATGTGGGAATGACAAAATCATGAAACTCTACAAACGCCAGGGTAAACTAATGAAGTCAATCAAAACAAAGTCAGGGAACACACCAGATGACATAGCAGTGACAAGAAGTGGAGATCTTGTTTATACTGACCCGGGTACAAGAACTGTAAACATAGTGAAGAATGATCAGATACAGGAAGTGATCAGACTACAGGGGTGGATACCTCACAATGTCTGTAGTACCTCCTCTGGTGACCTCCTGGTTACCATGGTCAGTGATGCTGAAGAACAATCAAAAGTTGTCTGTTACTCTGGTTCCACTGAGAAACAAACCATTCAGTTTGATAGTAAAGGTAAACCTCTGTATTCAACTGGTAACATTAAATACATCAGTGAGAACAGGAACCTGGATATTTGTGTGGCTGACTGGGAAGCCAAAGCAGTCGTGGTAGTTAATCAGACAGGAAAACTCCGATTTAGATACACTGGTCATACCTCTACTGCCACAAAATTATTTAAACCTTTGGGCATCACAACAGACAGTCAGAGTCAGATCCTGACAGCAGACTTAAGTAACCACTGTATCCGCATCCTAGATCAGGACGGACAGTTCCTCTGTTACATTGATAACTGTGATCTATGGAGTCTATGGGGTTTATGTGTGGACACCAGAGACAATCTCCTTGTAGCTGAGTATGCTAGTGGTAAAGTGAAGAAAATCAAATACATGTGAACAATTAGGGAAGGGAAGTGCATATGATATTATAAACCTTGTAGACAGAAGAAAGTAACATAATACTTTGATGTCTGTTTCATAGTTTGTTACTTAAAAGAACAAGGTTCACTTTTGCCTTATTTGGCCCTGTGAATATCTGAAAAACTGAAACTGCATAGTTTTAGTTAACAATGCATTAGATATCACTTAGATCTTCCGTGACTGTGTATCGATCAAAAATGACTCATTTTCTGGCTAGTCAAAGCATTATGAAGTCACGAAATGCATCAATTTCCTCGTATTCTGAAAAAGTGTACAAAAAACGGCCAATTTTTAAAGGTATTTTTGATATTTAATATAGAGCGCAACCTCTGATCTAAATTATGCAACTAGTAAATGATAGAATTGTTTCTGAGGATTAATGGACATGTTTTATTTTTTAGATCAGAGAGTGCGCTCATATTTTTTTTCTTCACTGAAAGTACTCAATTGTACCTGTTTACCTTAAAATTCAAGAACGTTGCAATTTTATAAAGCGAGACCTGGAGAAAATTTTTAATAGGATATGAAAGCACCAAGTCTCTACTTTATTTTAATGCTTCAAATAGAAAATCAAGTGTTAATCAATCAATTGGTATACTTTCAGGACCAATTTATGCATACAGTGAACCGACTTCTCAAGGTCAAACAGTGATCTTCAAAACCAAAAAAAAAGGCCTCAGTGATGAAATTAAAACTTAATCATTATTTATCAAGTTAACCATCAAGCATCAAAGGCTCTCCTTGACTTCTACTCTGCATGCGAAAGGAAAAGGATTGTACATATTGTACGATACTGCATGTTTCGTAAAAATTTAAAGGCATCTTTTCTTTTTGACTTTTGTCAATTTGAAATTAACATTAATATGTCTTACTATTATGGAACATTTACAATTTGTTACCATATACAATTTCTCAAAGGAAAGACTGGCTTAAAAAGGAAACATATGGAGATAACGAACAGTATTCAAGATCAAAATTCCATAAAACAATACAAAACAGGAGCAGAGCAAACACAGACCTCCGAAACATCAGAGATGGGATCAGGTGCCATGGAGGAGTAGGCATTCCCTGCTTACCGGTCACACTTGCCGTGTGCTCCTTGTCATGATCGGGAAATAACGAAATCAAATTCTTCACATGATTCACTGCGTTTAAAAAAATATTTTATTTACTCTTATTTTGTACATCCAATTTATTTTTAGTGAACATTTTTTTATCATGTTTATATCAATCGTATTCCAATAAATGTGACAAGAAAACATCATGTCACAGTACTTACGCACTTCAGGGGAGTAGGGGTGGTCGCAGGAGAAAGGATATGTTTATTTCCTGTCTATATTATCTTATTTGTTTCAAATATATGTATTTCTACTACGATTATTGCAGAGATCAAAGAAATGCCGCGGACATTATATCCAATGAATTACGAACGTCATAAAAAATTACCAGATCAGAAACATGTATCAAACCTGTGCATTTGAAATGTACATTTCACTTATACATATTTATACCACATCGATGTGTCGTCTTTTGTAATTTTTAAGAACACTATGTATTGTAGAAAGTAGCTGATGAATGTAGGTTACTAAAGCTTAGCGGGGCTGTTTCGAGGACCCCCCCCCTACGCCATATTTAAATTCTGTGATTTTAGTGAATAAGTGGTTTTTATCTTATATCAAACAACGTTTCTCGACTTTAAATCTTTTAAAAACCTTCTTCTCAAGATCAGCAAAGGTATGATTGGTGATATCAATATGGAAACATCCTCAGTTAGAGTGAATTCAAGACTGTTCATATCATGACCCATGGGGCAAGATGTGGCCATGGTGGGCAATCAAATTTTTACATAGAAATAAATAGGAAAAATCTTGTGAACTCTTCTTCTCAAGTATGGCGAAATTATACATATATACATGTACTTTATTAATATAGTGACAAGTAATAAAAAATTCACCCCCCCTTCCCCAACAAGTAAACTTTTCAATACTGAGCTGATTTGTGTTTTTTAACTAGCCCATGTGCTCAGGGTAGCGATGTGGCCCTTGGGCCTATTGTCCTTTGTTGTTAGGAAGTGGCAAAATATGCTCAGACAAAATAAATGTTGTTGGTTTTTCCTTGATGATAGTTTTTCCCTTGTCAAACTCCGTATAGAGCACAAACACCTGTTTTTAAAATAAATTTTTAACCAAGACGCAAAATTTGTTGACAACCAAAAAAAAAACAAACAAAACAAACAAACAAACAGACAAAAGGGAAAAAAAGTACATTCCTTTCCCAGATGTGAAAACCTTATTTCGTGGGAAGGGGAGAGGGTGGTTAAACTTTCGAAGCGTCATACATAGACACCTAGCTTTACCTTTCATAGCCACTTAGCAAATGTTTTCGTATTGGAGGAGGGGTCAGCGTTTTCTAGGGGGGTCCAAGGTAACTTTTACTTGTCTACCCCCTCCTTCTCGATCCGTTGATGTAACCCATTGTATAATAATAGTTTGTTATATTGTTTGTTAAAAATTAATTACTGAAAAAAAAGCCTGTGCTACGGGGTCAGTTCTGTGGGACTACTTTCCTTATGATCAATGAAAATAAACTACTTTGAACACCTTCATTTATTTAGATGGCTGTACCTTAAGAGAAAGCGCATTTACCTTACAGGTGTACAACTTCCATGTCTGAATAATTAATCAAAATGCAAGCTGGTCAAAAAATTCTTCAGCCAACCCAGCAACTAAGTAAATTTACCCATAAGGAAAGCATGTATTTATAGCTCTCTACATGACTTAAACCTATCATGTACCATACATATACATGTAGGCGCACCCCAGATCTAAGTCTGTTTAGTGTAGATGACAAATTAAAATGATAATCAGCATAAATCAACTCTACATGACGGAAACAAGCTTGGAACAGCCAGTCTTGCTAAAATATGAGAGCTTCAAAACTGTTTTCAGTCTTGTATACCCAAATGGACCCCAAATTGGTATTATTAAATCTTATCTTATCAAATCCTACGAATTCTCATACTGATACTTTGTAAGTTATTGAAGCCTCAGTATCTGCATGGGTATTTATTTGCAATTCGAAATTTCAAAAGTTTAAACAAAGAGTAGAAGGGGGCTCAATTTTTTTTTTGTTCTAGTACATCTTAAGGAGGCTGGGGGGTCAACAAATTAACCACAAACTAACCACTAGATTCAACTTATTTTTTTAGATGCGGTATCTTAAGCCGTCAACTATCAGTTGACAAATAAAAACTTCATACATTTTAGTTTTAAAATTTAATCATTTTTGTGTATCTTTATATGGAGCTCTTTTTTTTTTAAAGGAGATCGAAATAGTCTGAAATGGCTGCCACCCCAGCCTCTTTAACTTAAAAGTTACACTGGCTGTTTCTATTTTGTTATCAAATGAGGATCAAAGGCATCATCAAAACTACTGAATAACGGAAAACAACCTCGAATGTTCGAATACCTCTTATCTATGGAGTATGGTGTTTAATTTTTAATTGTATGTAAACTCCACTTTAAAATCCGTCTATTCTGTTTTCTCAATTAACAGACAAATGTATGAATTTTGATTATCCGGTTATGTTAATACTTTCAGGTTGTTTTATGACCTCTGATGGACCCGAGATGATTCGATTGACTTGGTGACGATGCAGAAAAATAGATTTAGAAACCATTTCTTCAGTGAATGAAATGAAAAAGAAATGTTCGTAAGTACTTAGTTTTTAGAATATAAAGTTAATTTGTTCAAGTGATTTTCATCTCTTATTTACTTTTTGTGCTATTTCTTTAAAGTAGGAAACTTCAAGGTGTATGACAAATTTGTACGTTTATCAGTCATTTATCCAGGAAGAGTATTTATTATATCTGAAGATATATATTACGACTTTCTGTCATATTTTGTTAACATTGGGTAGAATAGTCATTTTCTGTATAACTATATTAAGCAACATCCTATCATATCCTTTTTATATGCTTAGTCCAAATTCTAAAACACAAACCAAAAATAATTTAAATTTGATACGGCGTTTTTCCTCATTCAGTAGCGTATCTAGAATCTTGAAGAGGGGAAGGAGGCATAATTTGGGGTCGGGATAGGGACACAAAGCCACACCAAAACTGATTTATTGAATCTTATATTTATCTTGGACAAAAAAAGAGAGGGGCGGACCGCAGACCTCCATTCCTGCTAGTGGCATTTCGATAACTTTAAACTTTGATCAGTATAGTTTCCGCTTAAAAGGCATTCACACAGCTCTATTTAGGTTATAGTAAAATTCAGATGAGCCTGCATTTAAATAGATAGGGACAGAGTCAAATGCTAATTCAACGGCACATCTAAAAAGTTGGGGCAGGACCCAATGCTTATTCTTTAGCTCATTTAAATATTGAGAATTATATGCATATGTTTATTTTACAGCACATTTAAATACAGGTAGTTGGGGACAATGTCCAATGCTTATTCTAC